AAATCACCCACCAACCAGGAACACACACATTGGACTGTTATGTGAGCAAAACCCTCTACTTTGTTTGAACCATTATACATTTGGGTGTCTGTTTGGAATTGGAGCAATGCCTACACTAACTAATGTAACCAACATATTAGGCTTAAGGGCATTAAATCACTTGAGTATTAGAATTGTAGGCCTTCTTCCTGGAAAATACAAGAGGGACTAGCAGAAAGGGAAGGGAAACAGTAGAAATAATAATGTGAAGAGCTACAAACATTTTCCACATATATAACCACGTATTACATGCATTACACATACTATCTAATTTCAATCATTCCTCACAACAACTTTAGGAAATAGTACTGCATTATCACATTACTCAGATGTGGAAACTGAGGGAGACATGTAATATTCAGGAAGTGGAGGACCCATGATTCAAATCTGTTGACTCCATAGCCCACACTCTGGTTGAATACCAACTCTGTGCCCAGATATTTTATACAATTTTTTCTTTTTAACACCGTGTAAAATAAGCCTTATTATCCCCATTTTAAAGATTAGTAAGCTGAGATTCAACAAAGATAAATGATTTGTCTAAGGTTACAACTGGAAAAAATTGAAGGCCAGATTCAGGCCAAGATCTGAGTGACTCTAAAGTCTGAGAAATGAGTCCCTCATTCTCTTTCCCTTACACCGCAGAAGTCAGAATATAGATAGAGGGAGATGTCATGCAGAATGTATTTCACTCTATTTAAGAGCTTCAGATGTCTCAGAGGTTGATCTGTTAGGCCTGTGACTGTGTGACCACTGTAGTCATTGCTATTTGTCAGTTTTGGGGATCCCAGAGTTTCTGTTGGATAGAGGTCACCAAATTACCCAGCATGTAATTGAGGCTATTTTTAAAAACTGATAACAAACTTGTTAGGCTTGAAATAGCCCCTCCTTTGCTAGAGCCCAACAAGAGGTATCCTCAGCCAGGGGTGGATCAGTCATGTTCAAGCCTACAGGAAGAGCAAAAGCCAGGGGCATGGAAGCTAATTTTCTCAATGAATAAAGCATTTATGCATAGGAACAATTATAGTAGAGCCAGTCCACAAATCTACCTCATAAAGTCTTTAAAGTCGGGAGGGCTACCAGGAATTGTGTTTATATAAGGACTTCTGGGTCCCCTGAATATAAGTACTAAGGGAATGTCAGGGTGGATCAGGACACTGGAACTGACTTAAACAAGGATAGAGAGGGGGAAACTGGCATAACTCCCAATTAGAAATGAAGAATGGGAGAAGCCATCCACGTCTGTCTCCTTGCTTTGTAACCTGGGTGATCCACTCTCTAATCACATCCCTCCGGGCCTCACATTGGCTACTTGGCATATAAAGGAATTCCTCCAGACCCAGCCCCATTCTTTCTCCCTCCTGACGTAATCTGTGGGACTTCTGATATATCTGGAGTCTACATCTGGGTTAGTGCTGGAGGCTCACAGTGGGACAAAATGGTAGCATCATATAACTTCCTGACCTGTGACATGAACCATTTTAGGATCAAACAGCCACAGTCCCATATTCAAACAACAGACATTTGTGGTTGGGAAAAAGCACCAAGGCCCTGAAGGAGCTGGAGTTCCTCTTCAGTGCACAGCCAGTTGGACCAGCAGAGGAATGGCAGGAGGCTGCCATGGTACTAAATAAACAGGGGCGAGCCCATCGTGCTCTTGGGGTTTTCCAGGACCAGAGCTACCACAGCAGCAGCCCTGGGTGGTCCCAGAGCCCCAGGAAAGGCAGGGGAAAGAGGTTCCCAGAAGATCATAGTCTTCCACATACAGAATCAGGAGAATGGGAAGGGGTATGGAAAGAGAAGCCCTTCTACTCCCACATTCCTTCCAGTCATGTCCTTTCATTTTACAAATGGTAGCCAGAGTGAGTCTCTTCCAAACTGATCAGATCATTCTTCAGTTGCTCCTAGGATTAAGGCCAAACTCATTACTTGGCCTATAGGACCTCACAAGGGGTCTGCCTACTGCTGTAATCTAAATTCACTCCATTGTGCCATCCTCTATACTCTCCAGAACCCAAAGTCTATTTTATAGCCTGTAAATCCCATGAGGACTAAGTTCATATATTTTTACTTACTACTTTATACTAGCACTTGGCTTATATGCCTGACATAGGTAGTGCTCAATCAGTATCAGTTGGTTGGTTGAATGAATGAATGACTGGCTGAAGAGCCAATATTCCAGCAACTAAGTTAGGTGAGTGCTGAAGCAAATCACTTGTGATTGCAGCTACAACCTTTATTTCTCCCATAAATGGAAGCGGATAGAGAGACAGAGTACAGTTCAGGCTTCTGTGTTAAAGGTTAACAGCAACAAAGGTTTCCATCAAAGCCTACTAAGCACACATATCAACAGAAGCAGATTTCACTGATTCAAATGCTCTTTGGAAAGGGGTAGGAAATAAGTCAACAAATGAAGGTAAGAAATGAAATTTTACTGTTCCTATAAACTTGAAATGACTCAGAAGAATGCCACCAATTTGGTTTTTTAGTTCCCTCCCTTTTGCAGTGATGGTATTTCGTTGGTGCAATAGTAATTGCGGTTTTTGCCAGGGTCAGGAAAATGAGGTGGAAGTCCTGAGGGACGTACCTCTACCCTGCTGCCAACTGGATGCCAGGCAATCCAATATGTCTAAAGAGGTATTCCTGGTTGTTTTTGTTTGTTTGTTTGTTTGTTTTTTGGGACAGAGTCCCACTCTGTTGCCCAGGCAGCAGTACAGTGGTGCAATTTTGGCTCACTGCAACCTCCGCCTCCAGGGTTCAAGTGATTCTCCTGCCTCAGCCTCCTGAGTAGCTGGGATTACAGGCATGCATCACCATGTCCAGCTAATTTTTGTACTTTTAGCAGAGATGGGGTTTCACCACGTTGGCCAGGGTGGTCTCGAACTCCCAACCTTGTGATCCGCCCACCTCAGACTCCCAAAGTGCTGGGTGGTTTTATTTTTTTGGAAGACAAGTCTTGCTCTGTCATCCAGGCTGGAGTGCAGTGGCACTATCTGAGCTCACTGCAGCCTCTGTCTCCTGGGTTCAAGCGATTCTTGTGCCTCAGCCTCCTGAGTAGCTGGGACTACAGACATATACCACTACACCAGGCTAAGTTTTGTATTTTTAGTAGACATGGGGTTTCACCATGTTGCCCAGGCTTGTCTTGAACTCCTGACCTCAGGTGATCTGCCTGCCTTGGCCTGCCAAAGTGCTGAGATTACCGGTGTGATCCACCGCACCCAGCCTAGAGAAGTTTTATGAGTGAGCCTTAGTCAGAGCTCACTGCTAAGCAGCATCAGGCTACAGCCCTAAGTGAAGGAAAAACTTATCTCATTTCTGATAAGATGGGGATACGTGGCAGCTTTGATTTTGGTTCTTTCCTATGATGGGAGGCTTCAGGACCTGGTTCCATCCAGGATGGAGTTTGGACACAGCATAACCCTGAGGGCATAAGGATGGGCAGGAAGCCAGATAAGTTATAGTTGGTAAAGATTAATTAAACACAACCCAGGTGAAAATGAGGAAGTATTTCCCAGATAAGAGAGCGGAGAAAACCAGCCCCACGCCTAAAGAGGTGGCAGCAATAAACTAACAGCATGTGTAAATTGAACTTATGTTGGTGACAAGACCTGTGGTTTGGCATAGGTTTATTCCCTAAGCAAACTCATGTAAAACTGTGTGTACAGCACTACCACCTTTTAACCTTAGAATTTAAAGATTAAGTATGAGATTGATGTTATTTATGAGAGAGCAGAGTTTTGCTATATTTTCTTTTCAGGGCTTGTACAATATGGGCAACATGCCTATTTGGCCTTTGCTTGGATACTCAGCCCGAGAGATGAACAACTGTTATTTAAAAGACCTGCTGTAGAAGCTCTAGACATTGTGCGATAAAACTGGAGATTTAACACACATTCTATGAGTTCTGCTCTTGACTGAGCTCACTCTCTCTACACAGAAGTAGGCGGTTTAATTTCAACACGGGATTTTCACATTTATTATCTTAAGCTCCTACTGTCTCCTACTTACTAAGAAGTTCTGCTGTTTGAAAAGGAGTTTATTTTTAATGTTTCCACATTTTTAGAATCAATCTCAATCATCCAGAGGTGAATAACTCAGTTTCAAAGCTTAAGCATGGTAAATATATATGTAAAATGAAAAACCAGCTTATAAGGGGGGCAGCAGTGGAATAGGAAAAAAAGACAGTGAACCGGTAAGAACAACATCATCATCAACATATTAGAAGCAGAAGAGGGAATTTTTTAGAATTACATAGTAACCTTTAGATGCCAAATTTGTCTACTGAGACATGAGAGACCCTGAGAGTCACGCCATGCTGGATAAGCTTGATGCTGCTGACATAGAAACAAAGTGACATGCAGATGGCTACGAATTCCAGTAACACAGATTTAGGGCCTAGAACAGAGGTTCTCACCCTGGCTGCTCAGGAGAATCCCTTGGAGAGCTTTGAAAACCACAGCACTCACGCTCTACTCCCAGAGATTTGGATTTCGTTCCTCTGGGAAAGGGCATTAGTACTATTCAAAAGCTCCCTAGGTGATGCCACTGTGAACTAAGATTGGGAAGCCCTGGGCTACCATGGAGGATACAGGTGAGGAAGGTGAGGGGGAGAGAGAGAGAGAGAGTGAGCACAAGCAAGAGAGCGAGCGAGCAAGAGAGAGAGAGAGAGCAGCTGAGTATAAATTCTCCATTCAATTCACAAAGAAAGGAGAGCAACAAACCACAGGACAGTTCAGTTTTGCACCAAGCAATTTATATAATGTTTAGCATTTGCTAAAGGATTGTATTCATACCATTTTTACACTTCCAGATGATGTCTCTAAATACTGGATGCCATTTAACTGCTAGGCTCACAATAAATCTATTTCATAATAGCCATTTTTGTGTTATCTACAACCTCTTCTCCCCATCACTCTGGTGAAATCAGAGGTGACTCCAGCACAACCCCATTCACTTACTTTAATTCCTTGTGATCCATAGCCAGGGGGGCCAGGAGGGCCAGGCAAGCCTTTCTGCCCAGTATCACCCTGTTAGAAGATGGGGAGAATTTGAAAACAAAATGTAAGAAGATCGAAGAAGAAAGAGCATTAAGTATTACTACTCTCAGCTTCATTCTTACTTCATTCTGACCAGGACCTTCATGCTGCTTATAAGCTACTTCTGATTTTACTTCAAGCGCTTCCCCAATATTTTTAAACCACAGAATTTTTGCAAACAAAACCTTACGTATAATCCAAATAAAAATTAAGCAGTAAGTAGAGCTGCTTGGCCTAAGCAGAAATGGAGGCCCAGGGCCTCATCTGCTTGGGCCCCCTTCACTGTCCTACCACCAAGCCCAAGAACAACAGGGCTGCCCTGCACCACGTATGAAAACCACTGACATGTGGCTCCATATAGCTTTAAGATGTTGCTCCATTTCCTTTTTTTTTTTTTTTTTTTTTTGAGACGGATTCTCGCTATGTCTCCCAGACTGGAGTGCAGTGGCGCAATCTCAGCTCACTGCAAGCTCTTCCTCCAGGATTCATGCCATTCTCCTGCCTCAGCCTCCCAAGTAGCTGGGACTACAGGCACCCACTACCACGCCCGGCTAATTTTTTGTATTTTTAGTAGAGACAGCGTTTCACCGTGTTAGCCAGGATGGTGTCGATCTCCTGACCTCATGGTCCACCCACCTCGGCCTCCCAAAGTGCTGGGATTACAGGTGTGAGCCACCATGCCTGGCCTCCATTTCAATGTAAGGTGTGATTTCACTGAGGTTGCAGTTAAAGATTCAGTGGATATCAATGTCCAAATTTTTAGGAAAATATGTAGATGAAGCAATAAGCAAGTGTAGCATTTCCCAGTATCTGTTCATAAACTGAGCCCATGTTTCTTTGGAAACACTTCATGGTGGAATAAGATTGGAAAATAGCATGCGCTTTCCCTTGGAGATCTCCAGTGCACACTAATATAGTAGATTAATGGCTCTAACAAGTCCCACAATAAAGAAATTAGTGTAAAGTTGCTTATCCCAGAAGTTCCTAAATTAACATTGGATGGAAGAAATCTTCAGAAATGCTGAGTTAATATAAGTTATTGTATAAGTCAGTCTTTTTCTTTCCAGTATAAAAAAAAAAAGCTTGATTTTTTCTTATTATAAGAGGAATACCTGCCCATTGCAAAAAAAAAAAAAATTAAACAGAAATAAAGATGACATGAACAAGAAAAACAGACCCATCTTCCCATCACCCAGTGATAATGACTACTAACATCTTGAGGGGATTGTCATCCATTTAAAGTGATCTAGAAGGTTCAAAAATAGCACACTGCCAAAATGGAGTTGATGGACAAAACAGAGATAAACTGAGAATCTTGGTAATTCTGGGATGCTCAGTAAAATCTTTGACTCATACAGCATTTTCCCTCTCTTCTCTGAGAATGGGCTCTAATTCACTTCTGTGCATTTTCGGCATGAATATATCAATTCAAAATTTGAATTTGTGGTAGGTGGTTCTTTGACATCTATTTTCCCTATTGAACATGCTTGCTACTTCTTTACCCTATGTTTGAACAAATCAAATAAATTTGTTGAGCAAGTGAATGAACAATTAAAACTAGATTTCTCAAACTCAGCACTATTGACATTTTTTAGCTGGGTCACTCTTTCTGATGGGAGGCTGTCCTGGGCATTGTAGAATGGTTGGCAGCATCTCTGGACTCAACCTACTACAACCAAAAAATGCCCCTAGACACTGCCACATGTTCCCTGAGGCCAGGGAAGGGAAACAAAGTCTCCCTCTCTGAGAAATACTGGATAAAAAGAATAAAAGGATGAATAACCACCAAACTGAAGGAGACATAGAAAGGAGGGAATATGGGCCAAAAGAAGTTGCTCTCGTCTTCTCCAGGGACAATCAATCTAGACCCTTGCACTGACGCCCTGCCAGAGTAGCTGTGGCACACAGGGCACAACACATTAGCAGGTGACCTGTTAAAAGGCCACCTGAGGCACCTCTGCCAAAGTAAAGATGTGCTTCTTGACAATGGCACAGCCTCTAAGAAACCTGGAAATGTTCTGAGCACCTTGCAATTAAAAAGAGGCTGACTTGCTCATTTCTTTTGGGGGAAGTAAATGGCTTTATAAATTCAAATGTTCTATTTTACTGAATGTTCACCTAATATGAAAAATAAGACTTTTCATCAGTCATCCAGAAAAAAAATAAGTCAACACCAAAATGAACACTTACTATGAAGCTACTGTTCACTTGTTTGTCACTGATGGTATCTAACCCTCACACAGAGCACTGAGCTGAGGACTCACCTTTGGCCCTTGGGTTCCTATGCCCCGAGGCCCAGAAGGACCTGGAGGGCCTCTGACCCCAGGCTCTCCCTGAAAAGACACAACGAATAACAAGTTACTAATTTTTTTAAGACTTTATGTTTTTTTCAATATATATATTTTAATATAAAAACTTCTTGAATGTGACTAAGGTACTAATTGAGCCCCCTTCTCCTAGATCACTTTTATATTACCACTTGGGCAATCTTCAAACCAACAGATCCAGGTCCATTTCAAATTAATCAAGTCAATTAACTTCTTGGCAACATTTACTTTTATTAGAACTACCTTCTCTAGAATTTGGAAAAGTATTGTGAATAGAAGATGGAAGAAGAGACAAGAATAAAAAACAACCATTAAGAAATATAATCATATCCTGAACTAGTTGCTTTTATCATTGTATGCCACAAAGATTATGCTATTTGAGTTACAGATTGGCTCTATGATGTTTCTGCCACCTCATTAATTGGAACTGCAGGGTAAACTCTAAAAAGAATTTTCAGCTTCACTAAGGCATGACAGCTTCATAGCTGGCAACTATCACCAGAAAATTGGTGGGACCTGATGAGGGTAGGTGAAGCCCTGTGGCTAGACCTACTAGAGATGCTAATGATGGGAAGAATGAGAGAAATAAAAATCATTTCATTAGCCACCTTCTGTATTCCCAAGACAATGCTACGCATGTTCATATATGTTATTTGATGTAATTTAGTACTCACAATAATCCTGCATTATAATGATGTCTAGTTTATGTAACTTCTCTGAACCTCAGTAAATTCATCACATATGTAGAAAATAATATCTGTATTTCGTAGGACTCAGAATTAAGTGAGACAAAGCTTATAAGTGCTTCTATCATGATTTTTACCACAGAATAGGCACTTAGTAGATGTCAGCTCCACCCCCCTATTTTATTAAAGCGGAAACTAAGGTTTGCCCAAGTCTGCACAGCTATTAAGGTGCAGGGCTAGAAGGATGTAGAAAAACAGGAACCCTCATAATTACTGGTGTAGCCACTTTGGAAAACCGTTTGGTGGTTTAAGGTTCAACATAAATTTGCCATATGATACAGTCATTTCACTCCTACATACACACCCAAAGAAGATAAAAACGTATATCCACACAGAGACTTGCATATGAATGCCCTTAGCAGCATTATTCATAATAGCCCAAAACTAGAAACAGCCTAAATGCCCATCAACTGGTGAATGGACAAAGTCCTGTAAATTCAGCAATAAAAAGGAATAAACTATGAATAAATGCTGTAACATAAATGAACCTCAAAAATATTATTACTAATGAAAGAAGCCAGATATCTTATATGATGACATTTACAAAAAATATCCAGAAAAGGTACCTCTATAGAAACAAAAAGATTAGTCACTGCCGGGGCCAGGGATAGCAACATGGATTAACCGTAAATGGTCTTGAGGGATTTTACTGAGGGGATAAAAATGTCCTAAAACTGATTTATGGTGATGGCTGTATAGCATAGTAGCAAATTTACTTAAAGAACCACTGAATTTTATACTTAAAAAGGATGAATTCTATAATGTGTAAAATATGCGTAAATAAAGTAATAAAGAATAAAAAGAACCAGGGTCAGGCTTTGAAATATCTCCCAAGACCTTTGCCTTAGGTCCTGTTTTGCCCATATCCTGTTACCAGCTAAACAGCTTCTAGCTTCCAACATTGCAAAAACCATAAATTATAAGAAATGTTGAAGTTGTTTATCCAGAAAAACAGTCCATCTTTTAATTTACTTTCTACTTACAAACTCTAAAATACTTCTAGATAACACAAGCCCTTAAAAGGACGGGGGCCATTTTAAAACTGTACTTTATTACTGACTTAATTCTTTTAATATCTACTTTCATAATTATGTATTTCCCTTTTGCTTACAGGCCACTTTTAGTATACTGTCTCCATCTGTTCCACTTAGTACTCAGCTGCTTTTAAGTCTACAGGTGCTAATTATCTCTTTAACACCTCTCTCCTACTGACTCCCATCTTTGAGTGTCCCCAAGTTCCTGCCGGCTGAAAGGATCACTCCAACATCAAGGGCTCCAAGTAGAGAACATGAAAACCCTGTAGTACATACATTTCCATTATCACTCCTTTCTTGAGTACCTCTGAAGTACCTTCAAAGGGAGTGTAAGTTCACTGCCTGAAGTTCTCCAACTGCACCTGACTGATTCATATACTTTGCTACATCTTAAAAGGGACATGTCTTTTCTCTTCCAAATGTTTTGACACCCTCCAACAAAACAAGGAAGCATAGTTAAATAAATCTTACCCAAAATCATTGAATGTTTTATCAAAAATAATACTCCTCTTTGCTCAGTCACCCCAACCTACCCCAGATTTGATGGCTTCCTCTCATTCATTTCTGTTCGCCTGTGCCCTTCCATGATGAGGTGAAAAGGTTAGGAAGGATACAGCCAGGTAGGGCATGGTGGCTCAAGCCTGTAATCCTAGCACTCTGGGAGGCCGAGGCAGGTGGATCACGAGGTCAGGAGCTCGAGATCAGCCTGGCCAATGTAATGAAACTGCATCTCTACTAAAAATACAAAAATTAGCCAGGTGTGGTGGCGGGCACCTGTACTCCCAGCTACTGGGGAGGCTGAGGCAGGAGAATCACCTAAACCCAGGAGGTGGAGGTTGCAGTGAACCAAGACTGCGCCATTGCACTCCAGCCTGGGTGACAGAGTGAGACTCTGTCTCCAAAAAAAAAAAAAAAAAATGGAAGGAAAGATACAACCAGATACCATGTGCCCCCTGCTGTGATGCAGTAGAGAATACACCACCCTACCTATCAACATTCTGGCCTAGAAAAACTGAACCTGGATGTAAACGCGCCTCTAGATCTACCAGCTTACAATAATGGACGGAAGATGGAGAAACACATTACACAATACCACGAGGATATCATCAGCAAATCCGCGAGTACAAATAACATATTCACTAACTGCGAGCTAAAAAACAGGGAGGAGTCAACTTTGATTAAAAGAGGTTTAAGAGCTATCTCAATCAAAGGCAATATGTGGGCATGATTTGGATCCCAATCCAAACAAACCAATTGTAGCAAATGGATGAGACAAGCTCGGAAATTTGAATGCTGGATATTTGCTATATTAAGGAATTGTTCATTTGTTTTAGGTTTGATCATAGTATTACAGTCAAGTTTTTAAAAAAGAGTTTTTACATTTGAGTGACAAATACTAAAGCTTTATGTGGGTAACGCCTGAGGATTGCTTCAGGATAATGCAGTGAGGGGAGGAGTGGAGAATATAGCTAAAACAAGATCAACTATGTGTTGATAATTGCTAAGGAAGTGTGATACGTAAATGAGAGTTCATTTCACTAGTCTTTCCACTTTTGTGCATGCTTAATTTTCATAATTTATAATTTAAAATTTATAATTTTTATAACAAATTATCTTAATACAATTTTTTAAAATCCATAAACAATACCTAGCAAAAGTCTCTCCAGTGAGCGTGGGATAGTATTGCTGTAATAGGCCTCCTTCATAATAATTCATGATTTTAAAGATGTTAAAACTGGGCAAAGGGAAGGAGCACACAGGTAGATTCAACATCATTAGAATTTACATGTGTTGTGTGTATTCTTGGGATGTACCAAATGTTACATAATTTTTTTTAACATAGGGATATGGAGAGAAGGCAAGTTTTTTTTTTAACAAAGTAGTATGTTTTAAGAAAAAATTTGACACTCTAGTATTTAATTCACGATATTTTTCTTGTGAGAATGTTAGCTAAAACCTCCCCTCAACTGGTATTAATCATACTAATACCCCTACATGGGAAAGCAAGTGGGAAAAGCAGTTAAAGTAGGTCCATAGTTTACCTCAGGCCAGCCTTGTCAATGCTCTGTGTTGCTATTCATTCTCTCCTTGATAGTCTCCCTTATTCACTTCCCCCCTAACCTTCAACCTTTGGGAGTGTCTGATGGCCAACTGCAGTAGGACAGCTGACCCTGTAGATACCTTACTGTTCTCTCTGTCCTGCAGCCTCAGCCAATGAATTTAAGGTGTGTTCCATGTCATCTGTGGTCCTTCAGTGTTCACCTAAAACAAATTGTCCATCCTTATCCATATAATTGTTGACATATAGCTATGTTTCACATATCTAAATAATCTTTTGTATCTTTCGAACTATGGGAAAATAATGACATATAGTAATGCTTTTGTGAATCTCATAGACTTTAAATCAAGTCTTAACATTCTGCAGATATTAGAATTGGTCTATAACATAGCATGAGAGTTGTTCCTCAGTGTAAATGTACCATACTTCGATAGATGGGAATATTAGGCATTTAATGATCTGAGAATTCACAGAAGTCGTTATCTCTCCACTATGGTGGGGTCTTTGAAGATGATCTTTTGTTGTTCCATGGGCTATGTGTCCATGTTAGGCCACCACACCTGGTGAATGTGAGCAAGAGAATTGCAGGCAGGTCTTGCTTGGCCATTTGATGGCACTGGTTTTGTCATAAGGTAGCACCACAGGTCCCTAAGAAGCGTGTTGACCTGTGATATTTTCAGATACACAGTTTATTGTCAGTGGATACAGCGACATTCACAAATAAAGGAAATTACAACAGGTTTTTGCATAGCTGGACATAGCTTCCCACACAACAGCTGAGGGTTGTTGGAGCCTGCAGAGGGAGCCCTTGTATTAGGAGATAAAGAACAGACATGCGAGCAAATTCTAGAGTCGCCATTGGCAACGACATCTATCACTTTCCTAAGATGACAGCCTTAGCCTTATCCCTACCCGCTGCACACACTCTCTCAAAAGAAGAATAGTGGACTGTTTAGATGGCATACCATTTCCTCGTGGCCCACAAAAGGGATTCTAGATGGGAGATACTGCTTTCATTTTCACAGGAAATGGCCAAATTTAGGTCTGTCTGCAGTACTTGTGCATATGAACTTAACAAATGATTCAGTGAAGACTACCTAGACCATAACCTTGCAGAGTGGATAATTTTAACTCCTTTAAAAATACACACCATCTTACGATAGTTCT